TTCGTTGCGTTACTTTTCACAGCTTTCCCTTGCGCTGTGTTGCGTTTCGTTGTTTTGCGTCACTTTGCGTTATTTTGCGTCATTGCATGACAGAGGCGCTGCTTTGCAATCGCATTGTTTGCCGTACTTGGCACTGCATTGCAGCATTGATTCGCATCGTTTTCCTCGCGTGGTTTTGCATTGGTTTGCATGGGTTTGCATGCATTACATGGCTCTGCGTTGCTTTACTCAGCATGGCTAGGCATTGCATTGTGCTGCGTCTCAGGTTTTCATTGTTTTGCTTTCGTTGCAGTGCGTTGCATTGCATTGTGTTGCTTGGCATTTCTGGGCAGTGCTTTGCATAGCATCGCACATAATGGAGGCGAGATGGGGGATGAGGATAAACAGGGGGATACATTGGTCTGCGATTCTTTTGAGGCCTTGCGTGCCACAGCGCTTGCATACACCACAGCACGACCAACATCAGGTCGACTCAGCTCGACCACCGCACCGCATAGCAACCACCTGGACACGACCAAGCAACAGACAACATGACTCTGACAAGGTTCCGACAGCGCGGCATCAATCAAAAAAGGCAGCCCAAAGACCATATTGGCATGGGCAAAGGATCCTCTGACACAGGGAAGGGGGATGACAATTTTAACCCGCCCGTCGCCGCCGTCCGTCGCCACTCCACTGTTCGGCCGCAGTCATCAATTCGGGTGGCTGGGTACTGGCTACCGCTATCGAGTCCCGAATGAAGGAAGACGCGGGGGAAAACCCAAGCGTCTGATATTATTGCCATTCTGGCAAAATGCACTTTTTGACGAGCGAGGGCATTGTACATGACATCGGCATACGACATCAAGAGGAATGGGCCGCCCCGATCGGGGCCCATCGTGTGATCCAATGGTTGGTTCGAGCGGTAAGTGGACATGCGAAATAACGATTCGATGAGATGATAGTTAATCCTACCTACCTGCGAGAGGCGCCGACGGAGGGATCCCATTGAGCTGTCTTTGCACTGTTCATCGAGGCAGAGTACCTCAAAATGATGAGGGTTGACGGAAGCAGGTTTCCCAAACCAGCCCCTGGTCTATTGTCCCATGGACGCCTTGGCCTTTTTTGTTTTTGTGCGGTGAAAAAGCCGAAGGTAGAAATTGGAACGGTGACGACGATGCCCGCGCAATCAAGGGAGGATTCCTCCGGCGGTGGGCACGTCGCAGCCGCAGGAAAAGTCGAAGAAACAACGTGATTGAGAAGTGGTGAGGGCGTGTGCGCGACGGTCGGAGAATTCGACCGCGACGCCTGCCTGCCTGTGTCTGTGCGAGTAGGATATGAGCGGGGCTGAACTGCTGGAGCCTTTTGACGCAGGAGCGTCTGCCAAATACAGGGTCTTTTAGCGCCTGGTAGTGCCATTATTGCGAGTGTCCAGAGCTCGTTGAAACGTCTCGGGCGTTGACCTTGATGCGTAACGGTTCCGAAGTGGTTCGGTGCAAGATCTATGGTCGGATAGCGATGGGTCTGATGCTTGCTCCGTCGAAGTATTCGTCGCGCACGTTTGTGCTGAGCGAGAATCAAGTGATGAAGGGCAAACCCGAGAGAGAGAAGTAGCTGGTTCTCTTGAAACGCATTGCAAGTTGCTCGCGTGGATGTCGACAGCGATGAGGAAGCGCCAGCAGAAGGCCCACAACGCAGAAGAAACTCGAGAAGGACGGCGATCTCCTCGCGAGGGCGAAGTCTGTAGACAAGGAGATGAACAGACGCCGCAGGCTGTGGACAGCGTCACATGGAGCCAGGTGCTCGCGTTTTCTCAGAGGCATGTGGTGCAGGGGCCCAACTGCCATGACATGTCCAGCTCCGGTGCCAGAATACAGGCACAGCAAGCCTGAGACATGGCCCTCGTCGTTCGTGAGGAAGCTTAGGGAACCGCGCGGAGGATGCGACCCCATCTCGAAACGTTGGGCCTGGCCCAGAGGGATGGCATGGTCAATTGGTGCCCAGAACTGCGTGCGTTGGTTGGCCCGAATCCGATCAGCCTTGCATTTGGTCTTATGGTTATCTGCGATTGAAGCCTCGAGGGGCCCGAGAAAGCAGAGAATGTGGATTTTGGGGAACGCTTGGTTGAATGGGCGAAGGAACGAAATTTCAGGTTCGACCATGAAATATGCGCGCGGCGTGGAGGATCACCCCCGGCCTTCCCCTTGAAAGGGATGGACATCGGCGGGGGGGCCGCCGAGATGTTTGAGGTGACTCGCGGAACCAAGGGATTGGGGGATGCCCGCGTAGGTTCGGCGGGCGCCGCGTTCGCGGTTAATGGCGCGCTGTTGCCCAGAGACGACGGAAATATTCAGCTCGCGCGAAAGTGTCGACCCTTGGCCGACTGTCGGCCCAGAGGGCGCAGGGAAGCGACTGCGGTCGATCACCTGTCGGGCGCGCTGCGGGCAGCCGAGTGCCCAGGGAATGATGGCTACCCGAAGAGGAAAAGGTTGGCAGTGGCCATTCGTCAGCTATATGTCACCGAGACTGAGGCTGGTGCACTAACGGATGGTCCTCGGGGAGCGGGCGATGCTTGGGTTTGAGGAGCAACGTGAGTTATGGCGCACGGAAGAGAGGAGCTGTTTCGCGCGCTGCGCTCTGCGGGCGAGTGTCGAGGCGTCGAAGGAGCGCTGCAGGTCTCTCGAGATTCAGCGGAGATGATGGCAAAGGACAGTTCCGCGAGCATGCGTGCTTTCGCCTGCGGGCAATCCGCGATAAGACATAGGGGGTCAAGTGCGCCCCAGATGCGGCTTCTTCCCTGGATCCACTCAGCGCTTTGCCCGCAAGGAAAGGCAAGACGGCGACGAAAGGCGCCGAACAACCGGAGGTGTCCTTGATGCCATTGGGGAAGATTGGGCGCTCCACGATGGCGAGAAATCTAGAAGCGCTCGTTCTAGATTGGAAAACCCCAGCGGGGCGTGCGGCGCGAGGCCCGCTGCGGCAGTTGCTCTCGCTGCGGCGAATCGCGCCGGGGCCGGATTCCAGGGGCGAGTGTTTCGCTGGTCGCAGATGTTCTCAATGGCCCAGGCGGTCGAGAACGAAGCGAGCGCCGAGAAATAATCTGCGCTGCCCGAGCCCGCCCCCGCTGAACTGGATCGAGGCGGGCTGGCCCCCGCGGGCGGGGGGGGGAGCTTGCGCGGAAGGTCGCGGCGTCGATGCGACGCCCGACCCTGCTTCCCGACGGCGCGAACCAGACGGGGGCTTTGGCCGCGGAGGGGATGCGCCGCGCAGGCGCCGCGGAGATCGCGGCAGGGCCGAAGCTAGCGACGGCGGCCGTGGTCGCGGAGCCGCTGCGGCTTCATCCTCCAGGAACCCACGGGGTGAGTCGAGTTCCTGGTGGACGTGCGGAGGTCGCGGTGGAAACGCTGGCGGATGATCGACCGACAAATGGCGGCGTGACCGTCCTGATCGCGCCGCGGGGACATGGAGTTCGGGGAGTAACCCGTGGGCGGATAGATCCTGGGATGTGAGTTCGAGTGGGGGCTGGGAAGGCAGCGCGCGGTGAGCGCGGTCGAAGCGCGGACCTCGGGGCGGCCGAAGTGGCCCGCGGGCCTGCTTGCTGCAAGTCGGGGCTGCGTCGGGCAACCGAGCCTTCACCTCTGCAGCGGGAGTCAGTGCTGCTCGGACGGGCGGCGCTGTGATTTTGTTTGGGTTGGCGGCCCCTGGCGAGGCGCGTCGAGGATTGGCGCGTGGGGCGGTGTAGCTGCGGGGCCCGCCACGGGGCGGGGTCGTTGCCACCGCTCCCTCCGCCTTTTCTAAGCATCCATCCGCGCGCCTATGCGCGCGTGTGGCTCCAGCTGTCGCGCGAGGATAGCTTGATCGGGCGTGGCCGCGCCCGGGCAGGAAAAGGCGCGCTCGTCATCCCTGATGCGCGCGCATCGCTTGCATTCTTATGTTGCTCACCAGAAGCGCATCACCGTCTCGTGCGACAAGGTTGAGGAACCATCCATCTACACGATCCATTAGAATGGATCCCCCTAGCCAGGAAGGAGACGAGAGCCAGGAACGCGCTCGATCGTTATGGAGTGTCAACTACTTGGCGATAGCCTGAGGACCTCCAGGCCAGCTTGTGGACGCGACCGATGGTAGGGCGGGGGGAATTGTTTATACGGAAGGCGGACGGCGAGTGGAGGGTCAAGTGTCACCTTCTCTTTTGTGGTACTTCCCGAAAAGGAAGAGGTCGGAGGAGGAACAGTCACTGGGGGGATTAGGAGGAGGAGGAACAAAAAAAAATGATTTGGGATGGGGGATGAAGGTGCGAGGACCGACTCGACCTTCAAAGCTGCGCACGGGCTGGTTCATTACCACGCTGTCGGGGCTGCGACCCGGGGACGGACCAGTCGGTGCAATTATTCTCTCCCCTTTTCTCTCTGAGTCTTCTGTTTCCTTCTACTGCTCTTGACTCTTCGGGTCAGTTTGCAAGGCTACCAGACAACCGCACCCAGAAGTTACCGAAACCTTCTCGCTTACATTTTCACCGTGCGCTATAGGTATACGCGTTTTGTCCAGCGGCCCCACGCGCGGCGACGCGGCAGAAAGCTGCGCCAACTCGTATACGAGCGCAGACACACTCTTGTTGTCATCATTATCGTGCTCCGGTTCCTGCTTATCCAGCAGCTGCTCAGTAGGTCTGCCATCCGCAGTTGTGCAGCCACCCCGTGGCCTCTTTATGGCCACCTTGCAGCTGTTCGAAAGTGTTCCGCTAACCTATGATTGCTTCACACACTCGTTCTACAGCAGGGGGCAACAGGACTTGGAGGAGGAGGAGGAGGAGGAGGAGGAGGATGAAAAGGAGGATGACGAGGAGGAGGAGGAGGAGCAGGAGCAACAGCAGGAACAGAAGGAGCAGCAGCAGGAGCAGCAGCAGCAGCAACAGGAGATAAGGACCACACGGAAAACCTTGCAGCATTATGTTGGGGTATGTTCTAACAGTGTGCTTCTGAGTGCGGGAGTGTGCTCCATATTCGCTTCCACCTGCCCAGGTGTCTGCGTTGGCTTCGAACTTGCACAACACCTTCACGACCTTCCAGGCTCGCAGAGCGGTGAAGACGAGCGGACAGAAGCACACGGATTGATTGAGTGGTAGACGAGTCCCAGATTTTGAACGGCGCTCTCATCGGCATTCGGTTGCTTACGGCTCGGCACCTGTCCGAACACACCCCGGCCAATCCACATCATGCGCGAGCAGCATGTTGAATGTTGCCGCGTAGCTTGACCATAGGTTGACCAAATGTGTTTCGCTCGGGAGTTGGCAAACGATGCGTTTCGCAATGGTACGAGGACACGAAAAGTATTGTGATTTGGTTTGGTGGCAGTTGGGAGGAGAAAGCCCAGGCAAGGGGGATACCCGATGGAGATGGGGAAGGAGGAGGGAAGAAGAGCTCTTCCCCCCCCCAAGGGAACAAGAAGGTGTGCTGCCGCTGCTCTCCAGACGGGCCTCTCCCGGGCGCGGTCTGGCCAGGACTCCGATGCGAGTTCCGCCGCGACGGCTGGGGGCCCTTGGCCCAAAGGCGAAGACGAGGTAAGGGCATCAGCATCGGCGTGCTTGAAAGAGGCAGAGGCCTAGAGCTTGGCCAGTGTGCCTCCGCCGAGGTAAGATGCTCCCAAGTTCGGTGACGGAGTTAATTTGTGGGCTTTTGTGTGGCCGACATGATACCACCAACACCAATCTAGGATCACCTTCTCCCTGTGGAAGCAGCCCCGTGTGGTGGTGTTGGTGACCATTTCCAGGCCTCCAGAAGAGCGTGTTCTGAGCACGTTGGGAGGGAGTCAGGAAGGGGTACGAGCCCTCAGCCCCACAGGTCTCCATGGGGTAGGGTCGCACTCCTCCCCCCACCCCTCGGAGGTGACTGGCGCGGTCGGGGCGGGGATTCGACCGGGGTCTGCGGGTGGCGGGAGGGGTTCCAGTCCCTGCCCCCCCTGGCGCTGGCAAATGACGACGACAACGAGGACGATGACGACGGCAGCCACGACCACGACGACGACGACGACGATGACGACGACGACGAAAACGACGACCACGAGGACGACCACGACCACGACGACGACCACGACCACGGCCACGCGACGATACGACCACGACCGCGACCACGACCCCGACCACACCACGACCACGACCACGACGATGACAACGACCATTGCCACGACCGCAACCGCGACCCCGACCCCGACCACGACCACTACCACGACGACGACGACGACGACGACGACGACGACGACGACGACGACGACGACGACGACGACGAGGGGGACCACGACGACGACGACGAAGACGACGCCCAGGAGGACCACGGCGACGTGTCCCTCCCGCCCTGGCGCCTGCAAACGACGACGTGTTCCGTGCGCCCGCCCGACTGACCGACTCGACGACGACGACGTATCCCGCCCGTCCGTCCGACTGACCGACTCGACGATGACGACGGCGGCGACTGCGAAGGCGAGGGCGAACGACGACGACGACGACATGTCCTGCCCGACCGACCGACTCGCCGACTATGACGACGACAACGACGACAACGACGACAACGACGACGACGCCGCCGCTGGCGACGACGACGACCACGACCACGACCGCGACGACGACGGCGACGGCGACCTCGACGGCGACTGCGAACGACGTCGACGCTTCGATGACCACCCGAATGGCAAGTCCATGGCGACTCGGACGGCGACTTCGATAGCGATCCCCAATCGACGGACTCGCCGACGACGACATCGTTTGTCGGCGGCAGAAGGGGGGGTTCAGGGGACGAGAAGTGTTTTCACCAGGGGGGGGATCCTGGTTCAGGGGGGATTCTTTGGGGGTGTCCCCGTGCATGGAGGGGGGGAGGTGGGCCGGGGTGCAGCGAGCACAGAAGTCGTCGACTCAGATGCTCTGAGCGCCTCGCCTGCCCGTAGCCCCCTCTCCGCGGCTGTCCTCGGGTCCCCCCCCCCTTCGCCTCGCTGGTGTCCACTGGCCATTTCGCGGCCCGACCTGGGCCCCTTCGGGCGGGCGAGGACGAGGATAAGTCCCGCCCAGAGCTTTCCTGGAACGCCCGCAGAACGCTCCGCAACGCTCTGGGACGGCCGCGGTGCCCGATGCGTCCTCCAGAACCGCCAGATCTCAGGGATTTCCGTCTCATCCTCGCTTGGACGCGTGGAGGAGGAGGAACAGGAGGAGGGAGAGGAGGAGGAGGATGAGGAGGAGGAGGAGGAGGAGGAGGAGGAGGGGAGGGGTGGGGGTGGAGGAGGAGGAGGTGGAGGTGGTGAGGAGCAGGTGGAGGAGGAGGAGGAGGAGGAGGAGGGGAGGAGGAGGAGGAGGGAAGAGGAGGTAGGGGGGAGGTGGAGGAGGCGAGGGGTGGTGGGAGGAGGGAGAGAAAGGAGGGGTGGGAGGATGGAAGTGGACGAGGAAGAGTACGGTGGGTATGATGGAAAGGCAGAGGGGGATTGAAGGAGGGGGATAGGAATGAAGGGACGCAGTGATGCAGAGGTGGGGAGGACGAGGTGGGGAGGATGAGCAGCAGGAGGAGGAGGAGGAGGAGGAGGAGGACGACGACGACAACGACGCAGGGCAGCGGCCTGCGCGGGCGGCGCCCAGGCCAAGGGCCCGCCCGTGTTCCAGCAGGCGGCCAGGTGCCCTCGCCTGGACCCCTCCCTGGCAAGGGGGACATCCTCCTCCTCCTCATCATCATCATCATCTTCATCAGCAGCAGCAGCATCATCATCAGCATCATCAGCATTATCATCATTATCATCATCATCTTCATCATCACCATCATCATCACCATCATCATCATCATCATCATCATCATCATCATCATCATCATCATTATCATCATCATCATCATCATCATTGTCATTATCATCATCAGCAGCAGCATCATCATCAGATCGGCACGTTTCTCGGCCTGGCCTCCAGCGGCATCTTCACAGCGATCTCCGCGGAGACGACGGCGTACGCCGAGCTGGTGTAGAAGGAGGGCAAGGGCCACAAGAGGGCCCCCCGCGTACACGTGCGCATTCCTGGGGCTGTGTCAGGGGCTTATCCAGGCGGGGGAGGGCATCGGGAGTAGCAATCTGGCCAAGATCATGGAGTCTTGGATGTCGCTGGAGGCCGCAACGTGGCAGAAGCTGTGCGAGATCGTGCGGCTGTGCAAGGTGCAGAAGACGTATCAGAGCGACCAGCGCCGCCTGAGCCTCTGCTTGGCGGAGGGCAACAGGGACCTTCGAGCCGCCCTGGTCTTTGAGCTCGCCCAGGTGGGGTTCGAGAGAAAATGGGGCAAAGCACCAGCCACCTTCATAGAAAGAGAGAGAGAGAGAGAGATGCAAGAGTGGTTCGAAACCCTGATCAAGTGAGCCTGGCTGTTTCTGCATTCCTTACCAGGCGCTGCATGGATCCACGCAACACAACATGACACCAACTTTACTTTTGCGTTCATGTTTGACGCTTGGTACGTGAGGAGACCAATATGTAATGCGTGCACTCATGGCCGGCGTCATTCGGTCTCCCGTTTGGGGGGACCATCGCCGGGGCCAACCTCGGCTCTATGTCGGCCCCGCGCCCGTACAGCTACATACATAGGGCTTCTGGGAATTCTCCAGCACGCCGATCCTGCAGGGTGCTGTCCTGGGCCTGCTTGATCCGGCCGGCACTGTTTCCCATATGATTTCCGTATCATAAGCTTCACTGCCCGAGCGACTGGCAGTGGAGAGGCAAGGATCGAGTCGGTGCCTTGATTGATCGATTGATCATCATCATGATCATCATCACCATCACCGTCGCCAGCACCATCACCATCACCATCACCATCACCATCACCATCACCATCACCATCACCATCACCATCACCATCACCATCATCATCATCATCATCATCATCATCATCATCATCATCATCATCATCATCATCATCATCATCATCATCATCATCATCATCACCGTTGTCGTGTCTTTCCCTAGGGGCCTCGCGTCGCTCTTCTTCGACGTTGCCGTGCGCTGCCCGCACAGCTTCGCAATGCGCAGGGAGGCCGTGCCGCGGCGACCCGGGCCGCCGTGGCAGCAGCGGACGGCCAGCTCGAGAAGTTTACGCGGTATGGACGCCGGGTTTCCGCCGTCAGCTTCGAGACCCTCGGCAGGCTTGGGGACGACAGCCAGGCCAACCTCCGACGCGCTGCTGACTGTTGTCATCATCATCGTCATCGTCAGCATCGTTATCATCCCCGTCCGCGCCCTCCTTTCTCTCCTCTTCCGTTCTCCACAACTACACAGTCTGAACACTACTCCTCTCTCTCTCCTGACCACGCCCCGAAGATCTCGGACCCCCCGCCGCCTCCTGTTTTTACTGGCAGGATTGTGCCGATTTGTGTTGGTTCCCCGAGCGTCTTACCATCTGATTGTTCTCGCTATTTCCTTTATTGTGTTCCCGCTGTAGCGTGGGCCTTATTTTCAGGTCGGTGCTATGCTGTCGTCGTTCAGGATGGCGCTTTCGCCATAACGCGGGCCACGTTTCTGCTTCTGAGTCCTCTTTTCATCGTTGTTGCCCCTACTTTCACCTCCTCCGCCTTCCGCTCTACTTCTTGTTGCTGCTATTCGTCCTCGTGATCCTCCTTCATCCTCCTGGTGAAGACGGGGTGCTTTCACCGTCGACTACGAGGGTTTGCCAAGGCAGCCAAGCGGTGCGCCGTGCGTGCCTGGCGGGCGCCAATTACGGCCACCAAGTACTTGGGACGACGTGCCAGAACGGGACGCTGCTCCGGCGGCGGATAACTGCAGTGTCAGGGCCGACTCATGCGGGGAGGTGCCTTAGTACCCTGCTGCAGCTCCGAGTTGCGGACGGCGACCCTGCAAAGAAACTGCCACGAGAGTTGTTGCAATGATATTTTCTGATGTGGCAAGCCGACGTTGGTCGACAACGACGGATTGTTCACGTCTGGTCAAAGTTTCTACCTTCGGTGCGGGGTCGTGATGAATATCTACGCATTCGGTGCATCCGTTGGATAATGTCGGCGTTGATGGTCACGTTGCTTGAGTAGAAGTGGTACCCAGCGGGACCCGTGTGGTGGGAGCGGCGTCTGCCCGATGGAGGGCATGAGCGCTGGACCTTCCCCTGCGTGGACGTCCTGGCCGACGGCTCCAGCATGTGCCTCATCCAGGCCTTCGACGACACCGTGGTCAGCTCGCTGTGGGAGGAGGCTGCCAGGCACTGACAAGGTGGAGGTCTGGAGCACGGCGCCGACCTCTCAATCTTGCAGCTTTCCTTCTGCCCGCCTCGCAGGCTGCTCGGAGGTCATCGGCTTGAGGA